GGAAGAATCTACTGGTTCGTGTGAAGAGTTGTGGCAAAGAATACAAATCGCTGCCAATGAAGTCAAACGCAATCCCAATATGTTGTTTCAAACTAGAAGATCTCTCAGAAAACGTTGTGTAAAGTGTGTAAATGTCAACGGTGGATTCTTCGAACACTGACTTTAAATCATTATTACGAATTTCGTTTGTTTTATTGTTAATTGTTGTAACGAAGAAACACTTGGTTTGTTTCGCTTTTAATTTCTTGTATTATCAAAACATAGTGTTCGTTAAATCGATTTTTCTCGAAAACGGATCAAGATACCGAAATGAAACAAGAATACATAATTAATGCAAAAATGATTGCTCTTTCAGATTTTGATTCAAGTTTTATGTTAGACGTACAAGGTAAAAAGTTATTAACTAAATTTTCTGTAAAATTGGTCGTAACTGGCGCCCTCTATGAGCAATTCTGAAATTACAACACGCATCCTATTCGTCGCCTAAAAAAATATATTTTCACAAATTTTCAAGTTCCTAACCTACATATTTTGAGGATAATCCCAAAAAAACGATTTAAAATTTTAACTTTCAACACCCTGTTTTTCCGAAACTATCAACTTTCGGATAAGGCATGTTTGCGCCAATGGTCACCATTTCACATGTAGTATCTTCAGCATTCGATTTTCCCATTATTAATGAATCACCCTGTATAACTTACTACCTAATGATACAATTGAGGACCTTGGTGCAAGAAGGGAATCAGTCACTGTTTTGAAATTTTTCAGAAGCAAAAACATTTTTTATTTTTAGTATGGTTTTTTGTGTTTTCTTTTTATAGAGTACATGTTCTTTTTGCATAAAATTAAGATCTGGGCTAATTTATCATAAAGAAAAACGCATAAATTTTCAAAAATTTTTATTTGGTGCAAGAACGGAATGAGTCAGGCAACAACGAAAATCAAGGAAATTTATAGATAATCAGTCTGAGTATTCTTCATCACCATCTGTGCTTGAATGGTCATTTTGTGAAAAATCAGATCACATTCAGTCCCTTGCTGTCTAGCTAGCACTTCCTGACCTCGAGTACCAATATAAATAAGGCTCGCCTTTGGCTCGTTTTGATTTTCTAATATTTCTTTGCCAGTTTTTAATATTTTTTTTCTTCTTTCTTCCCTTATTGGCAATATTTTCTTTGTTTATTTCTTCATTAAACTCCCCGGAATCTGATTCACAAGCCTCACTGCCTGAAAGAAAGTACTAGCGCAGTACTCACTTCCAGAGTCTTGGAAAGGTTTAAACACGTCCGAATCATAACCCGACATCGCAAATACGTGAGCGCACAATGCAAACAAACGCACTCCTACGCTAACTGAATTATTACTAATCTAACTCAGAACAAAATCTACAGCGCATAGCAACATGAACAGCCACGCCTATTTTAACGTCAATCATAAAAAAAGTGACAACTCGTTTGGTGCAATAATGAGTTAAGTCATCATGACTTACCCCGTTCTTGTACCAAATTTGTGAAGGGGACGAGTCAAATGTACTTATAACATTGCTGTTTATGGGTCTACTTATTCCATTATTGCACCAAACGCTAGCTTATATTTTGTTGCAGCGCGTGGAACTCATATATCACTTTTGAAAAAATAGTGACTTATCCCCTTCTTGCACCAAGGTCCTCAATTATGCAATAGTAAATTAACAGTATGTCATAGAAGGGATATCCCAATTTTTTTAAATTTACAGGGATCGAATGAAAGACATGTTTACGCCTTGGTAATCGTAAATATTTCAATTTCTTTCATATTTGCCCTTATGGATTATGGAATCAGAGAAGCTACACCAGTAATTTTGTTAACTTTTCTACTTTATTAATCAAGTCTTCATCAGAGCTCAGAACCAACTACTTCCAATACCAATATAATCATTATATTTTAGAAATAATTAGTTCTGGGAAGTGTAGTTAAAGTCGATATACCCGTAAACTGTAATACCGTTTCTGGTACATACTTTTTGTAGACTTCGTTTCTGATTCTAGCAATGGCCAATCTCTTGATTTCAAATCAATTTATCAAGAATCCATTGTAATTGTGTTGAGGTTGACATATTGCCAGAATTGTAAATGTCTATCCAGAATCAATAAAAAGGAAAAGTGGTATGTAAATAATGTAAATATCAATTCACGAAGCGATTCTGGGAAGATCTAATATATGAATAAGGGCGTGACAGAAATTACAATATGTTTGACTGATCCTGTCTGCCTGGGAACTTTATACTAAAATATCGTCGCTGGCTTCTATTCCAATGTAATATGTGAGGATGTACCGAAATTGAACCTCGAACATAATATATCCGTTCTATATTGCCTCGTAGTTGTAAGAAGACGGATACATATTCATAAATGAAAAAAAATTCGTCAAATTTCATTCATGGTGGTTGTACCGTAAGTACAAGTATAAGTTATTCGACAGGCAGGATCCTGGACGGTTTTTTAAAATCAGGATCATGAAAAATATATTTGAAATTATCTTGAGCATTTTAATGTAGATATACACTACACTACACTGAATTTTACTATTATTCTTATGTTTAGGGATCTGTGATATACACATCCACCGAGTTTTATAGTAGTTATATATCAAGTTCTATAGTTAATGATTTGTATTTTAATAATTAGAGTTATGGTAACCTACAGGAAACCTACCCACACAAATTGGTACTCGAACGCTAAATTCCATCACCTTCCAGGACAATTAAACTCTAATCAACACCTTATAACTAGATCCATCCAATAACGGATGAAATTTCAACACAAGCACATTTATACTCGCTGTACAATGTTCTTGTCCAAAACGGATACGACAAACGACACATATTAAGAAATATACACAAAACACAAAATCCTATCGTTAGACAAAGTGTTCAAGATCTGACTGAAGAAATAATCAATGACCATAAAGCCTTTTTACCGTACATAAAGGGTGTTACAGACAAAATTTCTAGAATTTTGAAAAATAATAATATAATAACAATATTTTCGACTCATCAACCATATCCAGTTTAATAACTCCAAAAGATCAGTTTACTAATGAAGAATATAGAGTTTGCAAAATAGATGCATTCGTAACAGAACCCGGATTGCAGTCAGAAAATTAGATCCCACGTCTGCTTTAGTCAAACACCGTCTACAAATAGAGCACAAGATACAGGTACTTTAAAAACACTCAAATCATAACTTCTATCTATTCACAGAGATCTTGAACAATACTTGAAACTATCGAAATAGAAAAACGTCCAAATTCTTTGAATATAAGGGACAATGGTCTCAGGACGCCAAATGCGTGGAAATCGTTGATGTGAGTACACTTCATCACACGCAACCTGTCATAAATAATAAAGGAATAGGCAGATTGAGGTCTTGGAGACGATTGACAATACGGTTTGGGGAGTTGGCAGATTGTGGCCCCATTATCGTACTGCAACTTAAATATTCATACCAGTATTTTACCTTAACCTTTCACCCTCTCTAAGGAATAGGTAGATAGGGGCTCTTAAAGACTCTCGTTAGAGATTCCCGACAGTTTGAGTAAGCAAATTGAAGCCTCGGTATCGTTCGGTCTTCCCATCGTTTTTTCTTCAAAGTTTAACCAACTTTAAACTTTTGAAAATAGGCTACAATCGTTATAGTTGAAATGACAGCTCTTTAGATTTAACATTTAATTCAGTACAGAAATAAGTAACTTTTTTGTACTAATGCGGAAAGCAGTCTTTTTTCATTACTTTATACGGTCTCATGAATACATGTAGACAAATTTATTTATTTATTTTTTTAAATAATTACTGAAAGACAATTGAAAGGGAAATATTATTTATAACTCATGCAAAATGACTTTGGCACTTTAAGTAATGCCAAACCAGGCCTTCAACCTCGTTTAACAATTTCACGTTACGTGCAAAATTTATTTGCCTTTTGGGGCAACACAAATACTACTATATGATTGTATTATTTCCTGCCACTCACCTTAAATATATTATCAGAAAAGTAAAATATAATTTATTTGCTTATTTTACAAAAAAATGTATTTGTTTTATTAAAAAAAAACAATAGAGCATCGCCTTCTAAAGAACCAACTATGTTTTTCTGTATATTTTTACATATTATTATTGATAGGTTTATTTCTAATGTTAAAGCAAATATATGACTACAATACAATAATTGTAATGTGTTGCTGACCCAATAATACGATAAAAATATTGACAGTAAATTACATATATAGTGACAAATTTCTTAGTTTCAATAGATTGCCAAGAAATTGGATTGATTTTAAATTATTTACCAATTTTAGTAATATTCTCGATTCCGAGAATTGTTTATATTGTTTAATATGTATTTAAAGATAGGTTACATATAATTACAATTAAACAAATTTCAATTGAACCTTGAAATACGCAAATCATAAAGATAATTTGATGTAAAACAACATGGAACTGCAGGCAGCAGGTAACTCACAGTGTTCCCACTAGACTTCTTTACCACTGCGCATCTTTCACTCGGTAGTCAAATGAATTTGGTTTATCAGTACCTGTTTGCTATTTCACTTACACTAGTTCGGAATACGATACAGATAAATTTATTATAGTTTGTAGTTTGTTACTATTATAATCGATTTTTCTTCTAAAATTTGGTAGCACGTTACATTTTTTTGCAATATTTTTGGTAAAAGAAACTAAAATTAATAAACACACGTTTTATTTTTCATATACCTTTAAAAACAATAAAGGTACAGTCCTATTTAACATTTTTGCGTGATGACAATATCTGTTTTGTTAATAGGTTTCCTTTTATTTTCAGGATCAATATGGACATTTTGGTTTAATGGTACACCAAGAACAGTGTTCGGTTTTCTCACGATCATCAAGTGTTTCTCTAAATGTGTAAAAAATGACTTTCAAACTGACGCGTTAAGTGTCTTCGAACTCTAGTGATTTTTGTTTATTTTATTTCGTCAAGATGGAAAATGAGACTTATAATGACAATACAACGTTTGAGGCGTCCGTGTTGTTGAATCGAAGCAACGAAGTGGATCCCAAGTTGATGGAAAGATACTTAACGAACAAAGGAATCGACGAGCCTGCTTACACTACCTTAATTATCATGTATTGCTTTTTGATCATATTAGGAGCTTTAGGAAATACATTAGTGGTATGTATATTTTCTAATACTTTCATTAATTTTAAGATATCTCAATTTAATAAAAATTAATTAAAAGTACAGTTTGCATCTGAGGAAATGTTTATTTTAAAAATGTATTAAGTCTCTTCTACTTTCCTGGCAAATATAGCTGTTACTTAATTGAAATTACATTTCAAAGATTTCTCGTATCAAAGAAAAATCTCGTTAATTCAGTGTTAAGTGACGAAATTAATAAAAAAAAATTCAGCACTTTTATAGGCTTCTTATTAAAATTTAATTAAGATGTCTCGTGCAATATACATTTTATAGACACATATTTCTTTAGAAAAAGTATATATTTGAAACTTTGTAACACTGGAAATAAACAAATTTATATTTTCTATGAATATTGAAATAATTACTTTCCTTAAATTTAAACTATATCAAAATCTAAATGTTCAGGAGCAATATACGTGTTCCTTTAATTCAGGGATGCACAGACTTATAGGGAACAGGGGCCACTCGGGAAAAATATAAGCCAAGGACGGGCCACTACAAACAATATTTATTAACACAAAATTTTTTATTTTTAAATAGTATGAAATACAATGATAAAAATAAAATAACCTTCAAAAATGTTTGTTGTAATAATTATGTAATCATTACAATGTAATATTTCATGTTTTATTATTTTGATGCATGACATTGCATTGAACTAACAAGTTTTTTTATATTTGGCTCCACATTACTTGTAGCCACACGTATAATTGCTTCCAAATTTTCATTTGCCAGACGGTTTCGGTTTTTCGTTTTGTTAAGTTTCATCACTGAAAACGTTTGTTCACAAATATACGTCGATCCAAATAAGCTTGCGCATTTCAATGCATTTATTCGCAACTCTTTATAAGCGTTTTTATCAACGCAACGGTAGAAGTTGAGTAAATTACCTTCATTAAATTTGTTTCTTAAATTATCATCATTTTGCATGTCTATTAATTCCAGCTGCATTAATTCCGGCGCATTTTCGGGTGAAATGTTGAAAGGATTGCTGAAAATGTCCAATAGCGGTTTAACTTTTTTGAAGTCTACAAAACGATTTTCAAAAGCTTGTATCAAAATATCAATTTTTTCAACATGAGCGAAATTGACGTCAGTTTTATTGAACTTCTCCATAATTTTTTTGTAGTTCGGAAAATGGCCGTAATTGGCTGAATTGATTTGTGTCCTGAAAAGACTCAATTTGCATTGAAAGGACGAAACATGAGAGTATAGCTGCGAAATCAATTGATCTTTGCCTTGGAGTCGCGTATTTAAGACATTCAAGTGATTTGTGATGTCTACAAGAAACGCTAAGTCACACAGCCAATCAGGGTTGTCGAGTTCGGGGACGTCGTTTTTCTTTTCCGCCAGAAATAGTTGGATTTCTTCAATCAAGTTAAGAAATCGCTGTAGTGTCAACCCACGACTTAGCCACCTTACTTCAGTGTAAAACAGGAGATCACCATATTCGCTTTCAATATCCTCGAGAAATTGTTTGAATTGTCGGTGATTGAGACCTCGTGATTTTATAAAGTTTACGGTAGGTACTACAACTTTCATAACATTTTCAAATCCCAATAATTTTGAACAGAGGGCCTCTTGATGTATAATACAATGAAACTGCATTAATTCCTTGGTATTTATGTTTTTAGTTTGTAAATATGTTTTTAACAGAGTTACTATCCCAGATGTACTTCCAACCATTGAAGGTGCTCCGTCAGTTGTAATTCCAGATATTTTCGTTAAATCCAAATCCATTATAGAACATTTTTCTAGAAGAGCTTTGAGCATGTCACTTCCCCTGGTTTGACTTGTCAAAGAACTCATACCAATCAGTTCTTCACTCACTTCAAAATTTTGCGTTACACCTCGTAAAAATATTAATAGTTGAGCAGTTGAACTTATATCTGTAGATTCGTCGAGCGCTATAGAAAAATACTCAAAACTTCTCGATTTCGTAGCTAATTGCTCTTCTATATTATCTGCTAATGCGGTAATTCTTCTTTGAACAGTCATCCGATTTAACTGAATTTTTTCAAACTTCTTTACATTTTCCGGACAAATTTTTTTTGCGGCGATATCCAAACATTGCTTAACAAACTCACCATCTTTAAAAGGCCGACAAGTTTTCGCTATTATTCGAGATATTTCAAAGCTAACTTCAGTGGCTGTTTCAGCATCTTGAATTGGTTTTGTAAACATAGATTGCTGGCCTATTAGTTCCCGTTGTAAAGTGGAAATTCTTTGCGTTCGATTTTCGCCAGTTAATTTGGTAAAAGTTGGATGCTGGGTTTCATAGTGCCTTTTCACATTATATTCCTTCGGAATAGAAACACTACTCTTGCATATTAAACAGACAATTTTGTTATGCGATGAAATAAAAAAGTATTTTTCGGTCCAAATATCATGAAACTGTCGATTTTCATCTTCAACCTTACGACTACGTTTCTTACTGGGGCCTGGTTTATCCATATCAAAATTAATATTATATGTTACAGTCGGTAAAAGCCAAGTTCGAACGACGAAATATTTACTCGTCACAGATTACAGTTCTCAAACAGTATAACGTTCGCTTATCCGTAGTCAAAACTTAACTGCCCCGGTAGCCGGCGATGCGTCGTATTTATACGAGTTACCAAACATCGAGAACCATCCACTTTGTTCGGGGATCGACGTGTTTCGCGAATCTGTAATCTAGTTGATACGACAGATTTCTAGTCTCGTAATAATATGCTTGGACCGGAGCGCGACGAGTAGAATACTTTTAAAATTCGTCGGCGGGCCGCATAAACATCGACAGCGGGCCGCATGCGGTCCGCGTTCCGTGGTATGTGCATCCCTGCTTTAATTCATTCCAAAAGTTTAATCACTTGGAACAGAAAATCGGTTTGATGTATGAACTTGTCAATTTATAGGGTATATTATATGGATATATTGAGCTGTAAAAATTTCTCTCAACATTAATCTTTTCATAAATATTTGTAAATTATCAGTCGATTTTCTAATACCCTATAAAATTTTTTTTGCACTTTTTCAAATTAACGTCAAGGATAAAAAAAATTCTTCGAAAACCGTGAGAATTCTAGAGAATTTGTTCAAATTTTCAAAACTGCCTTTGGATTTACTGTGCAATAATAATCTATTGCAGAGGTACCGATGATTAAAGACAAATTGTTATTTTCCTGAGTCCAGGGACAATGGGTATTAAAAAAAAATTGTATTTTTTTTCTCGAAATATTTCTTTTGTTTACTCGATAATCGTAGCTCAAAGAAATTTTTGTCTAAAAGATCTTGAAACTAGAGACAAAGCTTCAAAATGTTTTTATTTTCCTTTAATTTCACACACACAAAAATTCATGAATCAGAGGGTAGACCTCACTGTTCTTAGGTTTTTGGGGTCGCTGAAACCGAATATGACTATAAAAAATGATTTCAATTGCCCGTTTTCCCACTAGCACCTCTTACCACCCACCCCCTGAAGAGGTTTAAATTTTAAATTTTCGTACAAAATTAAGATGTATGCGTATTTCTATGTTTTTTGGGACGCTGAAACCGAAAATAACTACAAAAAATGATATCCACTTCCTCGATTACCTCCTTACACTCCCTTACAATCGTTTAAAAGAACCAGCAGGATACATATGAAAGATTTCTCTCGGTAAATTGCTCTAACATTTTCGAAAAAAAGAGAAGTTTTCATGGGCTCAACGCTCAAAATTCCAACAATCCAATCTGTTAATTAGACAAGTTTACGAGTACGTCCAGCTCCTATGTTGTAAACGTCAATACTTCACCGATCAGAAATATCCGCTCTTATATGTATTTATGATTTGGTTCTACTCTTAGCGCAACCCAGGAACAACGGCGCGGGCGCTTGATTAACGTGAGTCCCCTTGCCTCTCACAATTCGGGATGCCTGATTAACGTGAGTCCCCTTGCCTCTCACGATTCGGGGTGCTTGATTAACGTGAGTCCCCTTGCCCCTCACGGTTCAGGGTGCTTGATTAAAGTGAGTCCCCTAGTTTCTCACGATTCGAGGTGCTTGATTAACGTAAGTCCCCTTGTCTCTTACGACATTTACGGCATTTACCTCTTTCTATGATACCGAACTCTCTTGCTTAAAATATCTTGTCTAGAATAAGGTGTCAAATTCAAAACATCAAAAGGCAAAATAAACACGGTTATGATTAGGACAGAAATCATAATTCGGTTTTAACGTCCCATAAAATATATATACATCGTAATTTTGTTCAAAACTTTAAGATTCAACTTCCTTTAGGGGGTGGTAAGGGGGTTCTTGCGGGTAAGAGAGGGGTTAAATTCATTTTTGTAGTCATTTTCGGTTTCAGCATCCTAAAAAACATAGAAATACTCATAAATCTTGATTTTGTACGAAAATTTAAAATTTAACCCTCTTCAGGGGGTGATAAGGGGGTACTAGCAGGAAAACGGGCAATTTAAATAATTTTTTATGGTCATATTCGGTTTAAGCGACCCCAAAAACCTAAGAATATTGGGGTCTTCCTTCTGGTTCATGAATTTTTTCTTTGACTGTGTTTTTAACAGTAATGTAGCTATCTATGAAGATGAGGGTTGCTTTCGCTGTACCTACAGCAAGAATACAACGCTCTCTCAACGGTAATAATAAAGAATTTTATTGAAAACTAATGTATAGAAAACTTGTATAGGAAAAGACGTGTTGACGGGGTGAGTGTTCGTTGGAAAGTCCCTGTATGTGGAGTCGGTATATGAGTACGCATCTGGTCGCCGACGCCAGTAGACCCTTCTTGAAACGCCGGCGGTGTTCTAGTGGCGCTCTTGACGTAATGCTTAAAAATGGATCACTTGCGAACATGTGTACCCACAAAGATATTTGATAAATTAAATATAATTCTGAGTATAACTCAATCATTAAAAATCTAAAAAAGTAAATGCAGTAGAATTTTTAGCGATTATATCTCCATTATACTTCATAAAATTAAAACTGCTAG